ACGGCGCTGATTTACTACACTAGAAAAACAATAGAAGGATTGGATGCGATATGGGAACTGACAAATAAATGCAAGTAGGCAGACCAAACTGCTTTCGTAATGGGTTCCACAGATTTCCCTCTTGATGACAATGCGCCCGGCACAGGTCATGAATTCGCTGCGCGTCCAACTCAGTGGGCTCAGCACTTGTGACTGCCGCATGAATCGAGGGGAATTTGACAGCATCTAACACACACTCTCCGCCCTCACTCACCAGGTTTCGGTCATGTTAAGCAATCCGTCTACACGAACCACACACGAACTTAACTCCACGACATGTTGCAGACTATGATGTGGGGGGCTCAGACCTCACACCAATCAGAATGCTATAGAGACCACACTGAGAAGTGAGCGGTGCTGCCAACAGTAACTCCAGAATACCCTCACCACCCCGTCAGTTGGCGGCCTTCCAAGTAGTCGCGACTTGTAGCGCTTCGTGGTAGATTCAATCGCGCCAGACTTCTTATTGTGGAGAATTCGCTGATGTGCCGTTGGGATGGATTCGCCAGCATCGCCGTCGATCGTCCGAACCTGTCGGCGGCCTGGTGATAGGACTCGGGACAATGGATGACAAGGCTGACCAGTCTGTCTGCGCGTGCCACGCGCGAGACCTGCGCTCCACCCCTCATGAACCACGTGCGTTCTGACTTGTGGCGTTTCGTCAGTCATGCCAGAGATAGCAAATTGAATCGCATGGTCGCTGCAGGAGAGAAGCGTAGAGTGCTATGGGGAGATGTGTGTGCGTGCGTGGCGAGGTGTAGACTCACCGGCAGCTCAGGGACGTGCGTGTGTAAGCAGATCAAGGTATGGTGCTGAATTAGGACTGAGGTCTTTATCGCGAATTCTTATGGAGGCGGGTACAGTCGAGTAGATCCATGCCAGACCAGAATGTCTTGGGGCAGTGTAGGAAGGTGGGACGGAGGCGATTGGTTTATGTGGGGGGGGGTCCTGACACTGGTTCGTCAGTCTCAGTGCGATGGATTCGATGCATTACTCAAATCTGCGGCAAGGACGAGAGGGAACTCTGACAGCTGTACTAGGGGTTGTGGAGAGGGTGCCCATAGTGGCGACACTGCTGGTGGTGGAGCCGTTAGTGTTACGGTGCACCCAGCTGTCGTGAATGCTCGCACGACCGAAAAGACCCGTGCGGTGTCCGAATGATCGGATGCAGTGTCGGGGGGTGGGGAGCGCGTATATGGGGGACTCCTGACACTGGTTTGCCGCTGTCAGTGTGATGGCTCCGAAAGTGATCGATCAAGCCTATGTGTGACTTACAAGTACGGTTTCAGGGGAGACAGGTTGGAAATAAGTTCACATCGTTGGTTTTAAGGACGCAGGAAATGTCTTGCAGGATGGTAGGAGTGTACTTGTCCGTGTTCCTAGTGGTGATGATAGTGGTGTGCTGTGAGATGAGAAGCTGGTTGGTCGTACTGACATTGCGCAGGGTTCGCCGATGTCCCAGGAGGCTGGTCCGCGCCCGGAATTCCGTTAACAATGCGGACATGATGGCAGATGTTCTGTCTTCCGGGCAGAGCCTCTCCAGCTAGCCTCAGATACGACTGTTCCATTCTTTATGACCAGTCATCATCGAGGTGCACCAAGGCCTCCAGGTTTAAGCGAGGTCTCTGACGTCCCCTTGTGGCGACGCTTCTTTCTGCCTTCTCTGCGAGCTCTCCTAGCACCGTCTCCGTAGAATAGTTGTTTGGGCAAGTATTCGTAGTTCATCTTCACGGCCGGACCGCTCCATCGTAGCTGTACCTGGCTCAGGATGGTTTGATTACTGAGAAAGCCGGTTTATTCCGGTATCTCAGTTTCTGGAATACTTTCCTGCCATAACATCATAACTATTTTTGTGGAGGCAACTGGGGTGGAAATGGCCGAGTTTTCTTCATAAACAGTCCTCGTCTCCGTCTCATACAAGAGCATTGTCAGGACAACAGCCCTGTACATTCTCAGTTTTGAGCTGATTAAAATGCCCCAACGAATCCAGAGAAAGCGCCTCTACTGGCTCTGAGGATCCCATTTGTGATCTCGTCGTTGACTTTGATGCACTTTAAAATTACACTTTCGAACGACGGATGTTGGACATCTTTTGAGTGATTCGATAGCTGATGTCAATCTCCGGTCGTTCTTCACAGTAGGCCTCCATCAGCATGACGGAGAATACGGGATTGAACAGGAGGAGAATGCAGCCCTTTTTCACCCCATCGGTCACCACAAATGCTTCAGAGACTGTCCTGTTGTCAATGACACAAACCGTCATCCCGTCGTGAAACTTTCTTACCATTTTAGCAAATCGTTCGGGACACCCGAATATCTGCAGGAATTTCCAGAGTCGATCGCGATTCACGGTGTTGAAGGTCTTCGCCAGACTCTCGAAGGTAATCCAGGGCTTGACTCTCATTTCCTGGAAGTGCCTCTGCAGCTGACAGGCAGCGAAGATTTTATCTGGGGTTTATCTGGACATTTATGAAAAAAGCCCCTGTTGTAGCTAGCTATTTGGGCGATTGGAAAGGGCATGTGATAGTGATTCCCTTTGCTTTTGTAGAAGTGCGCACTGTTGACATCTTTGAGGTCTTTGGGGATGAGTCCTTGTTGCTAAATCTCTTGGTGCAGTTAGGTAAAATTTCCCTGAATTTCGGCAGCCCTGTAGTAATGAGATGACCATTGATTCCCTGTGGCAGGCAGAAAATCCGCCTCAAGATGTTGTTTCAAGCGATGAAAGGGGCTCCCGCATCATGTCGCTCTGCCTTTAGACGTCCGCTCCGGAAGGTGCATCCGGAGTCCACCTCGTCCAGTTGTCCCAGAGCGGAAAAACGGGTTTCATAGCAATGTCAACTTCGCAGCCGGCGACCAGAGCCGTCTTCCCTACCGGTCGGTGACCTCTCGGACTGTCTAAAAGGAAACGGACATTCGAGACTGCCAGAGCGAGCAGCCGGCAAGGAGGAACGGAGATGGGAACACGTCCGGTCAGTTCGCCAACGGCGTGTTTTACCAGTAATTTTTAGGGCACCTGTTCTGGTCCCCTAAGCCAAAAAGGGTTTGCAGGACTACGCCTAAATACAGTGCGTGATCAATCTCATGAAATATTGGCCAAAATTCTAGAATGCGCTTCCGAATAGGAAGGATTACTTAAAAGGAGTTGTTATACTGGAAGGAAATCACATTATCTTCATATTTTATGCCCGAAGACAATGTGTATGTGGGTTTTTAAAAAGTATCTAATTATGAGATTTTTAAGACCGTGCGATGTCCATGCATACAAGACCTCACATGTCCGTTTACTAATGCTCCTCATGAAATGTACAAAACAGTCCGGATCCATTGCAAACTTTCATGAACTCTCTATGGTATCTTATTAAAGGCAATGGCAGATCAGGCTGAAAATTATTCGGGAATCGGAAACTCTTTTAAAACCTAAATACACACTGTCTGCGGGCATGGAATATGAAGATAATGTAATTTCCTTCCTAATGAGCGAAAGAAATCATATCTTTTCTGCATATTTTCTGTAAAATATATTTGAATTTATAAGACCATCAAAAATCAATAGGAAAGATGCATGCCATTCAAGTAGTCATTTTTGACCGAGTGTGATTCCTGCAGGAGGTCAAAATGAAGTACATTCAAAAGCCGACATCCTGGCGAGTCAGAAATGTTATAGGGTTATGCTGCAAGATAATCAGTATAACAACTCCCATTAAGTAATCCTTCCTAATCGGAAACGCATTCCAGAATTTTGGCCAACATTTCATGAGATCGGTCACGCACTGCATGTTTACTTAGGCATTCTATGTGGCCGCTAAATTCTACAATGGGCCACGACCTTGGTTTAATGAGAAGACGAGCCGGGCTAGCATGGGTCGCCTAGGGGACTGTATGTTGCCCATAACGTTGGACTTTTTATTTGGGAGGGAATGTTTGGGATTAGTTCAGGGACTACTGGATGAGAAGATACGACAGTTCAACCATCGATCTCGATTATGTCTACCGTGTGTTCCACTGCAGGGGGGGGGAGGGGACAGTGACTTCCATGTGATTTCTTTTACAACGATTGTAGACTTTCACTGCATCTGCCGCACTCTCTCCTCCTCACTCACCTAGAACTGATGACAAGACCGCGTCAAGAAGACCGGACATGGGATAAGGCGCAAGTCCCTGGAACGGTGAAATCTCCCCCCCTACCCCTCAGGATTACCATCGCATCCCATGATCCACGAAGTACACTGACCAGGATGATATACAACAAGAAAAATGGAAGTGGGCGGCTCGAATCCCAACTGAAACAGTGTGACATACAGACCACATTAAGAAGGAACCATTGCAGTCTGACCCCCGGCTCATCAATCGGCCGCTCCACACACAAAGGCACAAACATTGGGTTGATTGCGAGGTCAGAGTTATCTCGTCAGTTGGAAACCTTCCGAGCCATGGCTTTCAGCGCACCGTTACAGATAAGACCGCATCTGATTGTTTATAGCGAGGAATATACGCTGGGATTGTCGACCATATTATATTACTTTTCACTCGTAGGCACCAATCCACGACCCGAACCGGCCAGTTTTCTGATGCTGTGTGTGGGCGAAATGGCTGACAGAGTTAGAGAACCCCTCTGCGCGTGCCACGTGCACGACCTGACCCCCCCATACGCACGCACCGAGATAACACGAAGGCGGGGGGGTAGAGGACTCAGATCTCGCATGTGTGAGAAAGTGTAATTAGGGGGCAATCGTAGTCTGACACTTGGTCCGCCAGTCGGCCACTTCATACAAACACACAAATGAACTGAAAGAGAGACTTCAGTTCCATCGTCAGTTGGCAACCTTCCAAGCCACGACTATTAGTGAGTCATGATAGTCTCAGGCTTGGATCATACATGCAGCAGAGGAGCCACATGAAGACGCGAGTTACGCGAGAGGTTCCAATAACGTCCTTGCGTTGTTAGGCGTGGTCCTGTGTGGTGTATGTGCTGGTGAGCCTGGTCGGCCACTTGCGAATCCATCGCACAGAAACTGGCGAACCAGTGCCTGAAGCACCGACCTACACCCTCCGCACCTGCCTCCGTTGCCTACACTACCTGCGCACTTTCACGCATCGCATGGGCCTATTCGACCACATGCGCACCCACGAGAGCGGACTTGACCGCAACCCCGACACATCCACCACATCCAACACACCCATCATGCCCAGCCCCACCCTCGTTTCATTGCCCTGTGCGCCCATCCTCCTCCTCCTCCTCCTCCTCCTCCTCATCATCATCATCATCATCATCACTACCGTAGCAGACACAACTGACCCCTCATGTCCACACCGTTCACGCACATTCATTTCACGCATAGGCCTGATCAGCCACTTGTGAACCCATCGCACAAAGACTGGTGAACCAGTGCCTGAAGCACCAATCTACACTGGACTCCATCGCCTTAATTGTCCGCACTACCACCGCGTATTCAGCCATCTCGGGGGTTGACTCAGTCAAATATACCTAAAAGACTGTCTGCGCTAAATCATCGCGTAGACACAACCACATCACCACGCATTTTCCCATCGATGCATAAACCACGCATACACATCTTCAGCGCCCCTCATCACCGGCACCTTTCACGTAAATGGGAAGTGTGCTTTTCGGCCCCTTGTGCCAGATGCCTCAAATTTTGCTTTTGCGTCAGCCGGCGCTTAGCACCGGGGGAACGAAAACTTTCGTCTGGTAGAGTGGACACTGATGTGCTCTCACCTACTTCAACATGCGACTGTATACTGCTGAGGCCAGCCAAGTTACTAGCATGAGGAAACTTCAGTCCGACCAGGCTTCATATTCCCCTTTCCGATATTTTTTGATTCACCATACTGTCGGCACATGTACTAGCTGACAGTCTGGAAAGCCAATCAACGTTTGCATTCTATTGACTGCCCGTCGGCAGTTTATGAGTATTCCATGATCATTTCACTGAATCTGATGCATTAACACCAAGTTCGCGCTTTAGCTTCCCATATACAAGTTAAAATCAAAAGCTACCAGGCGACTAAATTCCAAATGCATTTCCTCCAGGAAGTCTTCATAACTGGAGCAAAAACCCCCTCCCTGGTGCGACCGGGCCCTTGAATATCATCGGCTAGTGACAACTGACACTTATGACTCTTTGTCTGCGACCAGCAGATGGTCTACAGTGGATGGAAATGCGTTTCCTCATACCCCTCATACAAATGCACAGAGCAAATTCGGCTATATAGGTGTAACTTGACGTACTTAGCCAAGTATTTATGTCTTATAAGTAGTATTCGTACTCGGTAGCAGGATCACCAGGTCACAAACATACTTTCTGGACAAAATTTTCCAGTCCTTTATAACTGTTAATAGTATTTTTTCCCCTATTGCACACTATAACAGAGCCGGGGTGTGTGTGTGGTCAGTCATCATAGCCTACGAAAGGTTTCATACAAAGCCCACTGTGGTCAGAACAAATAAATAACCTCGAGTTAACTGGACTGACACCCCGATCACGGGTGTCCTACCTCTCTCTATCTCTCAGTTTCTCCATAGGAGATCGCCGGGGGAGAGCGATCGTGGCTCGACGCGTTAATAAAAGTGTTCACTCCTACTCACGAGGGGGGGGAGGGAGAGGGAAATAGTATAATCGGATTTTGGCCTGTTTCTTCGCACGGTCTCGAGGAGACAGAAGTGTCAACACTGTGTTTGTGTGTTATCACATCGTCAAGTAAATGAGCGAGACAACACGTCCGCGGGGGGCCCAGACGGTTCACACAAAGACCGGGAGAGGATGTACAAGGGGCGTTTGACAGCGGAAATCGCTGTGAGTCGTGTTCAAGAGCCGTCAGCGCCGGAAGAAGACAGGCGTTAAAGAGGAAGTGTCAGACGCCTAAACTCGAGACTCAATCCGAAAGGCCCAGTTAGTGAAGCCTATGGAAAAGAAGTCCGAGTTTCCTCCTTTTTTTCCATTTTTCTTCTTGTTCTGGGGTTGCTCCAAACATTTTCCGCTTACTATGCGAGTTGACCGCCGTGATTTACGAGAGTGAGTGACGCACACCCGGACTTGCGCAATAAGGAGGTGACCACTGGATGTACTTGACTAGTGACCCCATTTGCAAAATGAGACAGCTTAAAATCTACTGTGCTACCGATGAAACGATTCTGTTTGTATTTGTGATGGCCCAGAGTTGATGTATATCTGGGGGATGCCCATGTGGCAGTTTTTCCAATAGGTAATTTGACGACCGAGCACAGTCACCTCGAGGCTCTTTGAAGGTTGCTAACTGACTAGGTAACTCGGTCTTCATTGGAATACTTTGGAGTGACCGCAGAACTCACAGAAGAACGGACACATGTAGTGGGGACCGCATTGTGTGTGTGGCAAGCGCAGGAGGACTTTCTTGACTTTTTCGGCC